TTCTTTTAATTTAATTTTTTCTCTTCCATCAATCCGTAAAAGTCCAAGGGCTCTGCCAACGTAGAAGATTTGCCTTAATCGCTTTAATTGATAGGTGTCATCTCGTCACCCCGTCACCGGTAGTCTTGGGTAAATATATATATATATATATATTTTCCTCATAAAAGTATCGAAATTAATCGTCGATATTTTCAATCACAATATATCCAACATTTGATATTTTATTTTAAAGTATCGAATTCGCATCAATCTCGATATATTTTTAATAGACATAACATTAATTTCGATCGTCAAAACGACCATTAATAAAATGTTGTCCCTTATCCTAGTACATAATGCAAACATGACGATATATCGATATATCAATATCTTTCACGAGATAATTATCGATAGTGTTTAACAATATCGATACGATAAATATCGATATTTTTTTCACTTGCCCATCCCTAGTTACCGGTAGGGAAGATTTACGTCTGGAGTAAATGAGATGGATATACCGCCATCGACCGAAATCCAAGCCGAGTCTCGGAGATCATTCTGGCATTTTCTAGTCGCCGCTCACAGCACCCACAGGATGAAATCGGGTGATGGATGCTCTCTTATGCAGCCACCACTTTTTACCACTTTACACCAGCTGTTACTTCGTAACCGGTTTACTCTGACGTGTGAGTTCATGCAAGCCATTAGCAAGCGTGCGGTATTTTTAAACATCTTTTAATGTTCGTAGTGCTGTCACTGCCATAAGGTTGACTGGCAGAGAATGCTTTTAGCATCAAGTCCGCCTTTTGATCCTAGACAATAGTTCAATAAAGTTTAAATAAATAAATAAAATCAATGTAGACAAAATGTATCAACTCTTCTCTAATTCATTTTGTATGTATATAGAATTAGAAAGTGCCCACTTAACATAACGTGAGATCTTACAGTACATTGTAAACGATGACAGATGACTTCATTCTTGCCCAACAAAATATGCATCTTGGAAGGGCACCTCAAGGAGTTATGAATTACGTTATTATACAAGTTTAGATTTAATATACATAATAGATATTATTGCCAAGAATATTAAACATTTCACTATCATATACTGTAATATACGAATATTTCTATTGTTTAACTAATGTGTCTTTTTCGCGGACAGGGAAACTGTTCAAATCTACATAAATAAAATGATACAGGTATGCAGTTGTGCGCGCATCACGGAAAAACTACTGGATAGATTTCAATTAGGTTTTCTAAATTTTGTTTCTTACACACTTAGCACTTATCTAAACAAAAAATATTGCTATATCTTCTTTTAATATAAAGTTATTAAAGTGTTAAGAAAAAACGATTTTCATAAGCACTACGTATTCAGTGATGTGTGTAAGCAACGCGGACGAAGTCGCGAGTATCAGCTACTATAGTAATAAAAAATTACGTGCCTCTATTGGACACATGAACTCTCTTTGTGTAGTTTCAAATTGGTTTACATGTAACTGCCTAGATTTAGGCAGTTACATGCCTTTATCATCGTATGATCTTGATGATAAACCTAACTCAATTTCCTACAAAGAAAAGTGTTGGGATAAACTGTCTTCTTAATGCCAGATTTAGCAGTATGAAACCTTTTTTTCAAAATGTTTGTGTCAAATACCTCCAATACCTTGATGCAAGTCTCCTGTTATTAATGTGACATTTCTTAAGACAGGAATGTTACATTGCCTCCTCACATGTCCTGGAAATCTAATTTTCAAATATCTCAGACGTGCAGATTTGATATCGACGTTTTCTATCGCCGCCCAAAAATCGCAACGACAACATGTGGTAAATTAAAATAGCAATTTACAATTTTAAAAGTATTATACGGAGATCAACTCGGTTTATTCGCGTAAAGTGCACAGTCCTGATCTCAACTCTAAGAAGAGTTTTTAGGGCAAGATAGTGTCTGCCGCGTGAAACCAAGTTCACACATGTAATAATAATAATAATAATAATACTAAGTTATAAATACTAACTCAAATAAGTGTTACACTTGTTCCGATTGAGCCCTAGCTCCTGAACTAGGAATCCTGTATGACAGGAGTCAGGATATATATATATAATTTAATTTTGTCCCAATAAAAAATCCTAAAAGGTCGGAGGAAAAGTTTTTTCGTATTTTATATACAAATTCAAGACATTTTTTTCAAACTTTAATTACATTTAATTATAATATACACGTGAAATTTTGTTCGATTACTTGTTGTCATCTTGTGGTAGTGACATAACCCCGTTGCTGTGGAAATCTTGGAATTTTTGATCAAAAAAATGCGACAAATAGTTTTGCCAGTCCTATCTTGATGTTAACTTAGCACTGCCCAAAGAATTCTGAAGAAACCGAAACAGGTGGAAATCTGAGGTTGCGAAGTCAGGACTATATGGTGGATGCATTAACATTTCCCAATCAAGCTCTCTCAATTTTTGCTGAGTGGGCAAAAATGAGTGTGGTCTGACGTTATTATGGTGAAATACCACTCACTCCTTTTCTGTTGTTCAAGCAGTTTTTTTTTTTCAATATTTTTTTTTTACAAATATATTATTCTTCAATTTTACAAACAAAATACGAAGAAAGTGTCTCCTTCTTTTTTTAAATTATAATTCCTAAGACATCAAACTTAAGGCAGATTTGTCAAGTCTTAAATTTTGTCCCAATAAAAAAAATCCTACTTTGATCAATGGTGTCTGGCGAACAAACAGTAATTATGCTGTCTGCAATAATAAACTTATTTCATAAAACGTAAATAATGTGACACTCTGTCATCACAACAGATAAATATATGTATCAAAAAAATTAAAAAAAAATCTGGCACGTATCCAATTATTACTTTGCAGCAAATTTTGTCTTTAAGAAACGAATACACAGTAGAGAAAGAAACCGTTTGCGCATACGGATAGGCATAAAATGTTGAACACATTATCGCCACGTGGCTCTTGGTCAGAATGCCTGGCGTCTTAGGTTATCCCAACCGGATTTGCTGGCTTTTCAACTCTGATAGTTAGTAGAAATTACTATACACAAAATTAAAAAAAACAAGGTTTTAAGGTTAGTTTTTTTGTAGGATAAGGGTGACAAACGAGCACAAAGTCCAGCTGATGGTAAGTGGATGCTGTGGCCCATAGACTTCTACATATATGTATATATATATCCTCGATTACCAATCGAAATGCAGATGCGTTGTCACCCTAAGGACTAAGATGGAATGCCTCGTTTCCAGTAAAAAGTGTCTCCGTTTCTCTACACTCACCTTACGAAACACAGCAGTGTTGAGCTGCTATTTTACGCTGGTATTCTGTAAAAGCGTGGTCCTTCGCCGGTCGAGCCGACCCATTCGCACTACAACTATACTACTAATATAGCTGCAGCATGGCTCTACTACGTCCAAAAGTTTAGTTTAGGATTTTGCGTAGGTCTCAGCTCCTACTATCAGTATTGAAAAAAAGCAAGAAGTCCAGTATTCTCATTTTAAAATAATGAATTGAATACAACTGGTTTTACGGATTTTATCACATTTAATTTTAATGATTTTTAAATCCCGATCCTGCACGGCTAGCATGGTCTGGGGACAAAAATTTTATCCCCCGATTATATCCACTGACAAAAGATAAAATTACCTTGTCCCTGTGCCAAAGCAAGGCAACGGGGAGAAGTATATCACCGTTTGACACAACGAGTAGACATATATCCTCCGTCCGTAGCATGGAGCCAAATGAAAGATAAAAAATTGTGTTTTTATGATATTTGGAAGGGAAAATTCTATCCTAGTTCATTGGACGTGGGTTTAAGTTTATATTCATACAAAAAATCTATCTAAGTCTATCTCCCATTTTATCTACTGTGGATATTATATCCACCGGTGTGCCCATGCTTGAAGGGTGGATAAATCTAAGCGGAGGGATAAACATTTTCTCCTTTCCCCGGGGATAAAATTGTCTCCTGCCCATGCTAGCCCTGCTGAATCCGTTTCAGATGCTTTGCAGCACCCATGATCACGGGGGAACTGAGGTGTGTACCATCCTAATGTCAATGTTAAACCGGAGCACCCTCAGCTTTTTTGGATTGTAGATTGTGTAGCAATGTGTAGTGTTCGCGTAAATATAAGAAGTCAGGAGGAATAATGATAATTTATACAAACATTAAAATTTCACAATGAAATTGACAAAGTATAATAATATATTTCATGGGAAACGTAAAATACTTTGAAAGACTTGCTCATCTTCATACTTTAAATATTCAAACGAATCTTCCAACCTAATCAATTGAATTCATCTAACTATCGCAGACTGCAGGAAGGCAGGAGGCATTTCTATTCATTATTAGTTTCCGAGATATTGATCAATTTACAACCAACATCAAAAAAGGAGGTTCTCAATTAGACTGTATTTTTATAAGTGTTACCTTTACGTTATTCTTTATTTTATTTGAAAGCTGGTGCTTCTCATGTGGTCCCATATAAATTTGATCAAGATCTTACCGGTAGTTTTTGGAGTTGTCCTTAATAATGCGTATTTAATTGACTTCGACTACATTGATGATGTTCTCATTTTATTTATATTGAAGTCGGTTGTACAATTTTTTTTTAATTTTACCACTTACGGCGTAAGAGAACTCGGCACCCAATTTCGTTACGTGGGCGACTATCTGGAACGCTGGAAAGTTCCAAAAAATAACGAACTTGTATGACCAAATATCTATCACTTTAGTCAAATCTATCACTTTAGTCAAAGTGACTGTGACACCGCGAGACTTAACGTCGTCTTAAAATTGAGTAGCGTTTGAGTATTTGGGCAGCAAGCTACCCAAAACGGTGACGAGCAGGAGCTTCAAAAGTGGAAGATGCCACGAAGAATATCCCTCATTTTCCTACCATTCAACGGGAGAAGTCCACGACCAGTAAGTATATTTTCATTCACTTTCATTAGTTAAATATAAGTAGTAACAATGTATACATTCATAGAAAAAGGGACAACAAATTACTCACAAGTTAGTGTGCTTGGTATCGCCTGCAGCTAATACGGTGCAAAGATCCAACATCAAGGACTCCGATTGCTTGTTGGAGGAGCGCGGATCGCTTGTGACTAGACTTAACCACGCTGACTGTAGGCGTGGCCCGTAAATGAGGTCTGATAACCTTAAATAAGATAAAATATCTTACTACTTTCAATAATTTCTTCATTATCATTGTCTTTTAAAAAGTGATGGATATAGGCCCATTTAAGATCGCACCAAGTAGCATGCTGGCATAGGAAAGCAAAAAGTTGGGTTTGGTTTTGGTTTTGGTGTGACCTCCTAACCGAATTTCCGTCACGGTGGCCAGTCTTAACGGAGCCTACGTGGTAGAGCCAGGCTTTATCTATGTTATGGTTGTAGCAAGAATGGGTCGGCACGACCGGGTTGGGACCACTCTCTCACAGAATACCAGCGCATGGTAAGTGTAGAGAACTGGAGATCCCTTTTACTGGAAACAAGGCACTCATCTTAGTCCTCGAGGGTGACAACTCATCTGCATTTTGATTCTTAATCGAGGATAAATGTGGATGTCTATGGGCTACAGCATTTACTTACCATCAGGTGGACTGTGTGCTCGTTTGTCACCCTTATTCTATAAAAAAAGAGACTAACCATCTGCGCATGACAAGGTTTTATTGCAAGAGCGTGTGCGCAAGCGAAGGTGCACATTCTCTTCCTTCACTCTCATAGTCAGATGGGGCGGATCGGTTGCAAGATCAAAGGCTTTACGTACTTTCCGAGGCACCTTCTCATATATTTCTAACAATAGAAGTGAGATAATTTCTTATACTAGAAAATATTGCTGCAATATTTGATTAAAGAATAAACAAAACAACATCCACTTACCATCTGGCAGCATCGGCTGCTGCTTTGTACAATGTCGAAACGAAGTTCCCGCCCGAACCGGCAGCCAATGTTGCCAACCTTAACCTACAAACCAGTGCTTGTAACTGGGGAGAGTGTTCTACGCAACGCCGTATAAAATTCCTGCAAAAGAAAAAGATTTTTAGGTGTTCTCAAAACGAACTTTTCGTAAAGGAATTGTATGTATAACAAATAAATTACGGAATTGTTCCTTGTCTACGAGCACTTAACAATAGTTTTAGGGCAAGGAAATGTCTGCGCTGCCCCAATGCGTGTTGGCGAACTTCACGTGTCTTCGAAATACTTTTTTCTTATTTCTCAGGCGTGCAAGTTTCCTCACGATGAACTCTTCCTCCAGCACTTAAAATTGTAATTAACAATTTTATTGGTTCCGGCCGGTGATCGAACCCGACTTGCTCGTGTACTGTGAAAATTGCAGTTAGCGCTTAGCACCCTGAGCTACTACGGCTCAGTGTTCAATTTAGTTTTGTAACAGTAGAAACTTTGGTTTAAGGAATACAATCATTACTATACAATGGTCAATCAATAAACACATGCTTCACAAAACTTGAGAAGATTTACGATCGCAGCAACATTTGTTAGGCATACAGCCTATTAAAAGTCTCTGCTGAGCACTGCTGACTATCCATATTGTCACACCTGGCAGGCGGGATAGCAACCGCAGTTTTTTATTATCTTGATTGTTGTCGGGAACATGTCGCTTCTTGTTTCCTGTTTAATTTTCTTCTGTCTTTGTCTCTCTGTGTGGAGAGTGGATTAACTTACGCGGGCACTACCAGGCATTATTCTGTAAACGACAATAATTAATAACAACCGACATTCTGTTTTTGGAAAGAAGTTCCTTATCGGACGGTTCGAATTTGGCGGACGGGGGCTAGGCGAGAAAAGTGTAAGATTTTTCCCTCACGACCCCTTCTGACGTAGTGTAGACAGCCTTGGTAGCTATGAGAAAGCGGGTTGGACTAATATCCATTCTTTTTCTTATCTTGCCATGAAATAAATATTATTTTATTTTAAATGACAATTCATTTTAATAGACGCTAATAATTCAATTGTTTGTATTTGTTAATCAATAAAATAATACGTTTATGAATAATAATATACTACGAAAGGAACTTTGTTCCAACCGAGTGTTCTACGACACACCGCATGTTTTTTTTTTTCTAAAATAGACTTACATATCAGTGGAATCAGGTACAGTGACCAATAGGGCCAGGCCCAGCTTGTTTCTCCTCGGCGCCACTGCAGAACATGTGCTCAGTAAGCTATCACTTGTGCCGCTCGTTGTGCTATTGCAGTATACCTGATAACAATAAAGGCAAACAAGTTTAAACATATGATAAAATATGACAAACTAAATTAATTTACCTTTTTTATATAGGACTAGCTGTGCCCCGCGGTTTCACCCGCGTACATCACGCGTCTGCGCCTTGCGACATGCGAACTTTGAGAGAGACATCACGACGGACGGTTGGTGAATTAACAAAGATTTAAAAAGTGAGATATGTTACTAAAATTACATGGTTAACGTAATTGGTGGTTACACATGATACAGGTACTGATACGAATAATGTGGCCTAGTTTGTACCGGCGTTACTATTTCACATTTTAACATGAAAAAGTAGTTATTGTGACATAACTGTAATAGTTAAACAAATGGCGATACCATTTTTTCACCAGACGTTTTTATAGATATTGATATCCTCTATAAAACTGAAGTACATTACTTTGCTCTATTATCAATAGTTTCCGCAGCGTACGCGATATAAGGATTCTTTTTGGTATTTTTTTCACACCTTGGGTTACATTAACGAAGTTTTCATACGGATTCCTAACTTTTTGAAAATATTATATAGCCTATGTTTATCAGGGATAATGTAGGATTCTAATAATGAAAGAATTTTTCAAATCGGTCCAGTAGTTTCGGAGCCTATTCAATTCAAACAAACAAACAAACAAACAAACAAATCTTTCCTCTTTATAATATTTTTTATTTATATAGGATAAAGGTGACAAAACACAGTCCACCTAATGGTAAGTGGCTGCTGTGGCCCATATACATCTATATCTATCCTCGATTACGAATCAAAATGCAAATGCGGCGTCACCCGTGAGGACTAAGATGGAATGCCTCGTTTCCACTAAAAACGTGGTAAAGCCATGCTGCAGTTATATTAGTGGTATAGTTGTAGCACGAATAGGTCGGCTCGACCGGGGAAGGACCACGCTCTCACAGAATACCAGCATAAAATAACAGCGTAGCGCTGCTATGTTTCGTACGATGAGTGTAGAGAACCGGAGACCCTTTTTTCTGGAACCGAGGCATTCTATCTTAGTCCTCACGGGTGTCGAAGCATCTGCATTTTGATTCGTAATCGAGGATAGATGTTCATGTCTATAGGCCACAGCAACCACTTACCATCAGGTGGACTGTGTGCTCGTTTATCACCCATATCCCATAAAAAAGGGTCTCCGGTTCTCTACACTCACCATACGAAACACAGCGGCGTTACACTGCTCCACTTTTCAACATATCAACGATTCAGAATCTCAACATTGGTACGTTGAATCAACTAATTAGGGTTTCTCCCATTATTTCGATAGACGTCAAATCGGATTGGCGAACGCTATATGTACTTATATATACATATATCACAAGTTTTACGCGTTTCTAGTCCCCAGCTAGGATAATTTACATTTGGTACATAATATATCGGGATAAGTAAGCTGAAGGGGCAATGCGCTGGCCATCTGGTAAGATATACAGGAAGTGGATGCATGCAGGTTTGTTCAGGACCGTGCTTTGTGGCATTACTTAAGAGAGGCTTAAGTTAAGGAATAGTGTAGCAAATCGATGTAATTTATGATCATGATGATAATGATGATGATATACTATGTGATTATAGCCGGAATATTTCAGTGCCTAAGCGCTCGCTGTAAATTTCGTAGTACACTGATTCAATCCCTGCCGGCAAGGAAATCGTTAATTGCTCGGCGGTAAAGTTAAAGAATGTGAGGAAACCTCCATGTCTGGATAATTAAAATAAATATTCCGAGTACATATGAAATCCGGCAACACGCACTAGGGCGGCGCAATAATCAAATTGATTCATAATCGTTTAGTAAATTTAAAGAGGCCTGTGCCCAGCAGTGGCACTTAAATAGGCTACAACTGTACTTATTTATATCGTTATATGATGCGCCAAAATTCTTTCTGGCACTTTCTATATTCGCGTCATGTAACACCTACGGGACAACGTGATAAATTTTCTTACAGCGCCACCACAGCCGTACTACTATATACATAGCCAAACTTAAGAGTAAGGTTGGTCGTTAAAGTTTTGGCGCGAACTTTACTATCGGCGTAATTTTGCCCTTGTTTTATCATTTAAATCTACTAGATTAGAGTGGATTTAGATACAGAATAATTATACGATTTTGTGTATGATTAAGTGTTTGTACAAATTAACTATTAGTCTTATCTCGTATCTTGATATAAAACTCCAGTTATTTCATCCCTTTAGGCGCTTTAAGAACTTCATATCACGATTTAGTGTTCGCGTAAATATAAGAAATTACTCAGATCATCGATTTAAGCTGTCGTCAAAATCTCCCAAATACTTCGCAAAGTGATGCATCAAAATATGTGGGAGGACGGGGGATGATTGTCAACAAATTATTATGAAGGATAATTTTTTATTACTAGACACTAGCAAAAGTACGAGTTCATTACCAATACCACGCGGACAAACAGGTTTGTTCACACACTTGCCTCATCCATCTGAATTATACGGTGGCGATAAGCGTAGTGAAGGATAATTGAAGCTCGATAATTAACACCTACACACTAAATTGTTTGTATTCGTTATGTATATAGCCATCTACATAAACTATTGCAAACAATTTAGTGCGTAACTGTTAATTATCGAGCCTCAATTATCCTTCGCTACTAATGATAACCGCTCACATGACTGAACGATAGTTTCGGTCACTCATGTGATGTATCACGCGCCTCTAAATAGAGATAATACATTGTTAACAAACTTTATTGCCGCGTGTGATGCTATTTATCCGTTGGTTTTATAAATAAACCAGGCGCTACAAAACCGTTTCTTCATAGTTTTCACGACCGAGATTTGATGTAACAGGTATTATTTGAAGAAGTAGGTATTAGTGGGCCAACTTCCTCAATTATCATTGTTAAATTTATTATTGTTATAGTTATTATATAAGGACGTTTGTCTATGTGCAGTTGGTAAAATAGACATAAGATATTAATTAGAATTAGATCCTAATGTGTTTTTAATAGAATGGAGGTGACATACAAGCACACAGTGAAACTGATGGTAAGTGGATGCTGTAGCCCATAGACATCTACATCTTCATTTTCAGTTGTCACCCCTACTACGATGGAATGCCTCGTTTCCAGTAAAAAGGGTCTCCGGTTCCCTACACTCACCTTACGATACACAGCAGCATTAAGCTGCCTATTTTACGCTGGTATTCTGTGATACTGTGGTCCTTCCTCGGTTGAGCCGACCCATTTGTGCTACAACCATAATATAGCTGCAGCGTGGCTATATCACGCAGAGGGGTAGCGTGGACTAGTATAGACGTGGGAGAAGTCGTCTTTCGTTCCCAAGATCTACTCAATAGATCTATCCTAGCAAACATGCTTTGACATGACATACCTACTCATAGCTGTTGGTTCCTGACAAGTCTCGTATTCCGTCGATCTAACGGTCGCAATCTTAGAAGGTAGTTACAACGGCCTCGCAGTCGCACTTAAGATTGGCTTCTTGCGAGTCCTCGAACAAACACTCTTTTAAATTTGTAACCTTCTTTTTCGAGCGTAAAAGTGACCAAATTAATTAGTCATCTGTGGTTAAGTCTGCGGGTATCGCATTTGAAGAGGCCTCGCGAGACCCATTAAGTGCGAGGCCGTGAGCGAGGGCCCACTTCGCCCACGCCTAGCTAGGCCACTGCTGTCTCGTGAAGGGGTAGAGCCACGTAAAGGGATATTTTTTTTTCAAAATTAAAAAAAATTAAAAAAAGTTGCAAAAAGTAAAGTCAAAAGGTTTACCCATTATCGACAAAAGCGATGCTTTTTATCTATTATAAGCCAATACTTAACTACTTTCACATCTAATGGTATGTGGTTATGTAACTGAAGATGATGAAGCGCACTGACTCGGCTTAACAAAGGTGTATTCAATTCACTCTTTGAAGTCACTCACATTGTAATCGGATGGAAAATCAGACGATGGCAAATTATTCAACACCTTTGCTCTACGCATTACAAACGGCTCTTGAATTAAAAAAGCAATATAAAAACTCAATATTTTACAAAAAATACTACAAATAAAATCTAGTATCTTATACCGCATCTGGACCTTCTTTCGAAAACTTTATACACATACTCTTTTATAACTATTACATAATGTGTATTAACGGATATAAAGATATAAGTTTACCTGTGAATCGGAGCTGGCGACAGTACTGGTTGATGTAGGCACGTTCAAAAGATTCGAACTTTGTCCGAGTTCGAACCGAGTCGCCAAGCTCTGGAAGGTTCTGCGCTGCCAACTTCCTCTGCTCGATATACTAAGCTTGCGTCCAGGCGGGACTGGTAGAGAAATAATGGTTTATTACTACTGTATACAAATTATATTCCAGAACTTGATAGCGGCTTATCCTCAACCGCCAAATCCATGGCGCAAGTTTTGATCACCCATGTTCTTACATATAAGTTCAGGGAAAGTTTCTTCGTATTTTGTTGGAATAAAATTGAAGAAAAATCTCTTTGGTTGTACTGTTTGTATCTGACTAGTTTTAGTATCAATACATACATGACATTAAGAAGAATAAAAATAAAAAGTAAAAAACACTTTCCCGCCGTTTCTTTATTGTTTTTCTGTCCGACAAAAAGAGGAAATGTAACGAAGAAATTCGATACATTCTGAAGTTTTGTTACAAAAAAAGGAAAAAATGCGACTCAAGCAACTATTAATGTTATGTGTAAATATTTTTTTTAAATAAAGTGACAAGCAAACTTTTCGCGACTAATGGTGAGTGGACACTGTAGCCCATAAACACTTATAACTTCAGATAAAGAAGGCTATAGCTACATTGTCACCCCATTGGACTAAGATGGAATGCCTCACGGTCTGTAACTACACTGGTACTCTATACAGCAATGCACGCACTATTTGGCGGTGTAGGGTGGGTACAAACGGTATATTTATATCCTAGATAGAAAAGGGGTCCTACCACAAAGTAAGTCGTAGAACAGGTAAAAACAAACAAAGATGTAAGGTATGATTTGATTGCGTCCATAGTTGTTGTTATTTTCTATTATCGCGATGCATACAGGGTAGGTGCGCCAGTTTACTTAGTGTCTGAAATGAACACGTTAAATACGCGTTAAGACATGGAGTTGCCTACCCGATTCAATCGAGTATCAGAAAAATTATGGTGTGGGAAAAACAACATAAACATATAGCGCACTGTCACAAGTCTCGTGCAAAAGGTATGTTAAAATCTACATTTCGCTTCTTTTTAATAATAACATACAAATCCAAAGAACTATGAACTAAAGTCTATGGTCCTTGACCATAATAACTTCCAATTTAATTAACAACAATTATGGGTCTCTATATCATCTGCAATCAAGACTGGACTTTACGTACATAATGAAGATGTCATACTTAAGAATAGTGTGTTATTCGCTTCGCACGGGTGATTACTGGATCTCGTTAACAGCTCCAGCTACAGGGTCAAATTGTGAATCTAAGCCATCCAGAGATCCACATAAACACAAAAAATAATCATCAGAATTGGACAAGCCAGTTTCGAGTTTAGCGAGACGTTAGACAGCAATACATTTTTATATATTAGAAGATAGAAAATAGATCCCGGACGTCAGTCTGAGCGAGATTAGAATGACTCTCCAGCACCTTAAAAACGGAAAGTCCCCGGGCGAGGATGGAGTTACAGCGGAGCTTTTGAAAGCGGGTGGAAAACCGGTACTTGAAGTCCTTCAGAAGCTCTTTAATTCCGTCCTCCATGGTGACACTACTCCGGAGCCGTGGAGCAGAAGTGCGGTGGTCTTGTTCTTCAAAAAAAGGCGACAACGCTCTCTTGAAGAACTACATACCGATTTCTCTTCTGAGCCGCGCCTACGTGCTGTTTTCGAGAGTCATTACGAATCGTCTCGCACGCAGACTTGACGACTTCCAGCCTCCCGAACAAGCAGGTTTCCGAAAAGGCTTTAGTACCATAGACCACATACACACTCTTGGGCAAATTGTACAGAAGACTGCCACTTTGCCATGTGGACTATGAGAAAGCCTTTGATTCCGTCGAAATTTGGGCGGTGCTGCAGTCCCTTCAGCGGTGCCAAGTTGACTGTCGGTATATCGAAGTGCTGAAGTGTTTGTACAGTAGGGCTACGATGGCTATCCGAGTGCAGAATCAGAGTAAGAAGCCTATCCAACTGCAGAGAGGTGTAAGACATGGTGAAGTTATATCCCCGAAACTCTTCACCGCTGCATTGGAAGACGTTTTCAAGCTACTGGACTAGAAAGGATGCGGTATTAACATCAATAGCGAGTACATCACTCACCTTTTTTTTTCACCCATATATAGTCTTTATGGCAGATTCGCTGGAGGACCTCAGCACTATACTCAATGACCTAAATAGTGTATCCAATGGATAGGTCTTAAGATGAACATGGACAAAACAAAGATCATGTTTAATGTCCATGTCACACCTATGCCGGTAGTGGTTGGGAGCACTAAGCTCGAAGTTGTTAACGAGTATGTTTACCTGGGACTAGTAGTCCGACTAGGTAAGTCTAACTTCGACCGAGAGGTCAATCGACGGATTCAACTCGGCTGGGCAGCGTTCGGGAAACTACGACACATTTTCTCGTCAGGTATACCTCAAAACCTGAAAACGAGATTGTACAACCAGTGCCAGTTGCCAGTAATGACTTATGGATCTGAGATGTGGTCCTTCACTGCTGGCCGTGTGAGGAAGTTCAAGGTAGCTCAGCTAGCTATGGAGAGGGCTATGCTCGGGGTTTCTCTGCGTGATAAACTTAGAAATGAGGATATCCGCCGTAGAACCAGAGTAAGCAACATAGCCCAACGGATTAGTAAGCTGAAGTGGCAGTGGGCCGGCCATATAGCTCGAAGAACCGACAACCGATGGGGAAGAAAGGTTCTCGAGTGACAGCCTCGTACCGGTAGGCGAAGTGTAGGGCGACCCTCCACTAGATGGAGTGACGACCTGGTAAGACTTGCAGGAAGTCAATGGATGCAGGTGGCTCAGGACTGTGTTTTGTGGCATTCCTTGGGGGAGGCCTATGTTCAGCAGTGGACTTGTGAAGGGCTGTAATGATGATGATGATGATGATGATGATGAGAAGATGCATAGATAGATAGATACATAGTCAATAATGTCTTCAAACTTTTCTAACTTGGTAGAGCCACCGTGTAGATGGTGTGAGAATATCTACAACCCCATATAGTCCCGTGGGTGTCATAAGAGGCGACAGAGGGAAACATACAAGGAGATGAACGTCTTCCTAATAACAACTACTAAAACAAAAAGCTGCGGTTACCAACCCACCTGCCAAACATGGTAACTACGGTGTATAGCTAGTATCCTCCTTATTAGACAGTCTATGTAAAAGCCTATGGTCAGTAATGTTTGAATGAGAGCCATACCGCAGCTTTACTGATATTATTAAAGCCGCGTATCGATTACGCGCTCCAAGAGGTCGAACATTGGCGCACGCTCCAGCCGCGCGAAATGGATACTGCCTTGGAGCGCGCGCCAAATTGTTCGTTGGAGCGCTCGAATGTGGGGCGTGCCGCTCCATCTGGTGTCGGTTTTTTACCGCGCATCAAAGTAGTTTAAGTTTTTGCGCGCACGCGAGTCGGGACAGCTGCTCGTACACGACCGACATCCATGTTAAACGGTCAAACACTGGAGCGGCAGCCGCGCGCGCCAGGAGCGCTTAGTTGTTACACTTGTAACATTTGGAGCGCGTTCCGCGGAGCGCACTGGTCGGAGCGGTCATTCATGGCGCGCGTGCCAGGAGCGCGTAATCGATACGCGGCTTAAGATTCCTTTTCTATCTAGGGGTCCATCTGAATAGGTACCACCCTTTTTGCTATATCTGCCGCCAAATAGCAGTGCTTGCTCTGCCGCGTTCTGGTTTGAAGGGTACAGAGAGCCAGCATTACAGGCTGTGAGACATTTCATCTTAGTCATCAGAGGTGACAACGCATCTGCAGTAGCCACTTACCATCAGGTTGACTGTAAGTCCATTAATCACTTCCTTTTTATAATAAAAAAGCTGTATTGTAGCAGCAGCACGAATGAATCCTCTCGAGAAGAATATTTCCTCGGGATAAGAATACGCTCTTACAGAAGACGAGCGTAATACAGAAACAGAATGCCGCTGTGTTACATATTATTATGTTAAATGACAGAAATCGGAGTCTTAATACTAGTAAGATGCAATCAATCTTAGTCTAGGGATGTTCGATGATCATCGATGTTAAAAATTAAATCATCGACGTTTTAACATCGATATTAACACATGTCAAACATCGAAACATCGATGTCAATGAACCCATAATCGATTATTGGGAACTTGGGAACAATGTGAACCCGCGCAATCAATATCAACTAAATCTTGCATCTCCTCTGAAGATTTAAAATGTTGAATAATTCAGAATTCCTGAACGCATCGCTAACCTAAAAAAATATCATTATGGTGTGTCAAACTTAATTAACAAGTGTCACCTGTAATGTCACAGTGGTCACTGTGGTTTTTTTATAGGATCGGGTGACGAACGAGCACAGTCCACCTGATGGTAAGTGGTTACTGTGACCCATAGACATCTACATCTATCCTCAATAAAGACTTAAGATGCAGATGCGTTGTCACCCGTGAGGACTAAGATGAAATGCCTCTTTGCCAGTAAAAAGGGTCTCCGGTTCTCTACACTCACCATACGAAACACAACAGCGTTAAGCTGCTATTTTACGCTGGTTTTCTGTGAGAGCGTAGTCCTTCCCCGGTCGAGCCGACCCATTCGTGCTACAACCATAATATAACTACAGCATGGCTCTACCACGTACAAAACGTGTGGTTGTCGCATAATAACTATTCTACGTAAATTGATATTCAAGTTAATTGTTACTTTTTCCCTTGGTGTGTACCCACATAATTTTGAAACAATATGTAAGTATTTACACATATACAAAAAACATCGATAATGGTCAACATCGAACATCGATGTTGAGCTATCGATGCCAACATCGATGTCATCATCGATGTTTCTGCAACATCGATCATCCCTATCTTAGTCATCAGTCAGTATTTTGATTCTTAATCGATATAAGATATAGGTATCTATGAGGCACAAAATACACTTACCATCGGGTGGACGGTGGGCTCGTTTGTCACCCTTATTAGCTGTGATTCATGCTCACACTATACACAAATTCCAATTCAATATTGCCGACTCTACATTACTTTCCTTTATGATTTTTCTATAATATAATACTGGGTACAAAAGGTGAAACATATTCTCATCATATTTATGTACAGATACTGTGCATTTGTGTGATGCGTTACGACACTAATAAAACTGTCAACGAAAACAGCACACTTCTGCCTGCGAGTTAAACTTGGTTGTTACGTCCTGCTATTAAAACGGTAATTGAAGGGGCGTGGATCGTCTTCCTTTCATTTTATGTGTCCTAAAATTAGACAACCGCTTATTGGCCAAGGTCGCCTTCCATATGTTTGATACAGTACAGTAACAAACAGTAAACAAAGGTGTCTGGAAATATAACCCTTACTGCACTTACGTGATTGAACTTCACATAACCACGGATTAGATAATAGTTACTACGTAAACATAAAATGTGTTGCATCCTGCCCGGCTAGTATGGGCGGGGGACAAAAACTTTATCCCCCGATTATATCCACTGACAAGAGATAAAATTATCTTGTTAACGATAACGATTAACGAGTACACATATATCCCCCGTCCGTAACATGGAGCCAAATGAAAGATAAAAAATTACGCTTTTTTGACATTTGAAATGGACAATTTTATCCTAGTTCATTGGACGTGGGTTGAAGTTTATATTCACACAAAAAATCTATCTAAGTCTAAGCCTATCTCCCAATTTATCTACTGTGGACATTATATCCACCGGTGTGCCCATGCTCTAAGGGTGGATAAAACTATGCGAGGGAATAAACATTTTCTCCTTTCCCCGGGGATAAAATTGTCTTCTGCCCATGCTAGCTCTGCTGCTGATCCACTTAAATACATCAAAATAATTTTAAGGTGAAGGACTGTGTAAGAATATCTTTATCCCCATATCGTGCCGTGGGTGTCATAATAGGCGACAGTGGGAAACAAACCAGGAGATGAGCAGCAACGTTTTCCTAATAACAACTAGAAAATAAAAAATTGCAGTCGCCAACCCGCTTGCCATGCGTGGCAACTATGGCAAATATCCCCCATATAAGGCAATTTAAGTGAAGACTAATGGTCAAAAGAGGTAATGAAAATGAATGAGTTTTACTCTGTGACAGAGTGACGTATTTTTGTATGGACCTATGTATGTCTTAGATGTGGACTAAAAATGATTGAAAATTGTAATTATAAGGTGTTTTTAGAGTCAAACGTAGCGACATCAATAAAACCTCCTGGACTTATAAGTGCGTGTTGCCAGTGATGACATAGACCTGCGAGGTGGTCCTTCACTGCTGGCCGAATGAGGAAGCTCAAGGTCGCTCAGCGAGCTATGTAGAGAGAGGGCTATTCTCGGAGTTTATCTGCATAATAGACTTAGAAAAGAGAATATTCGTGGTAACTATAGCAAATATCCCCCACATGAGGCAATTTAAGTGGAAGCTTATGTTCAGCAGAGGTAATGAAAATTAACGAGTTTTACTGTGTGACGGAATGACGTATTTTTGGAAGATAGGTCCAGATGTGGACTAAAAATGATTGAAAGTTGTAATTATAAGGCGTTTTATGTTCCTCGCTTCTATTTACTAACCGTTGTGATACAAAAACGGTACTTACACTGAAAACTTAGCTCATCTTGCATGCTGCTTCCATCCAAATCATCAAGCATGGAATAGTAGTCGAAGGTGGAGCCAACGCTGCTGTATGGTGACTGCTCTCCATAGAAACCTGTGAACGGTGTTAATTTAATATTCTCAAAAGTTAATTTTAATGTAGTGTGACAAGACAAGCAAATCGTTCACATACTCGTAGCTCAGTGCACGTCCTGCTCTTACAATTAATTTAGAATAAGACTGAACCGCGCTCCTAACCGCAAACCCAGCGATGTCATTTAAGTTCAATACGCTCAATAATTTCAAATTATAATAAAACACTGAATAAAATTAATATTTCAATAGAAATTCAAAACGACTTCAAATATCTAAAAATTATTAAATAATTTCAATATACTAGCTTCTCAAGTCGGTGATATGACATTTCACTTAGAATTAACGCCTAAATTATTTTTAAATTAATTTATCCACCCATTGTGTAGTGACCCAACATCACAAGCCCAAGGTAACAACTGGTGTGTATTCTCTAAACACTTCATTCCCTATTTTCCCGCCCTTAGCGGATCATTTGAATCGGCAAAAAGAAAAAATTGTAAAACTCCTCGTACGTACGTTCCAACTCAAGCGCACAAACCACGGGAAAGTCCACCACGCTACACCAGAGCAAATTGACGGAGTTAACACCTTCAAAATACCTATATAAACCAGGTCAGTTCAGTTTAATCAAGTGCATGAAATTTACGAATGTCGGGCGTGTCCAGTTCCTAACATCTGCTGGGGCTGCTGTGGGGCTTTAATAATCATTAAAACTAGCTTTATCAAAACTCTAATTATACTAAAATAATAAAAATGTAGGTGCTTTAAATGGTTTACGTAGTTGGAAGTGACAATGTCTCGATTATTACGTTAATATTATTGTAAACTGACGTTTTAACGTTAAATGTTATAATATATGAAATATCAAATCTGTGGCGCCAAGGAATACTAATGCACACGCATACGTTTGATACTTTTAAGAATTATTCTTAGTTGACACCACTTAACCTTAACAAAACCTGGTAAGATCCGGATTCCACTACTAGCGTCATTTTATTTTGTGCTTAAAAGCGACGTTTCCCCAACCACCGAATAAACATTATTTCTAGGTGTTTATATGATATTAACAATACAGTGTGAGAGTTTATTTAATTTATTTTATTAAAATTCTTTGACTTTTAAAAGGCTACACTTTGCCTTTACATCTTAGCTGTACATCCGCAGAAATTCCAATGAAAAAAATAAATAAATATTAACATAACAAAGAAAAATTACTAGATTTATTATCAAATACTCAAACGCTACTAAATTTTGAGATGTCTCGTGGTGTCACAGTCAATATTACTTAAAGTGATAGAGACAGCACGAGACTTAACTATGACATGGGCCTTCCCTGTTGTAGGAAGGATTAGGCTTAACCGTCACGAGTAGCAGGCGTACTCGTATTGATGACAGCAGTATCTGACGTCTCGCACCTTTGACGCTGTTACCCGTTGCCAGTCTCGGCATTTTGTATCTGGAGTAAATGATAGGGTAATACAGCTATAATGATTTTTTTTGACATCCCATAGTCTCCTTTTACGATACCCAAGGGAGAAAATTAAGTGATTCTCTTACGCATATGTTAGTCACTAATATTATTAAAAATAGTTCCATTTGTAGTCCGCTTCAGACAAGAGAGGCCATCTTAAAATTGAGCAGCGTTTGAGTATTTGGGCCATCACATGCTATCACATCATGATGACAATGACATATTAAAAATTGAAACGAACAGAAGTCTTTAATTAAACATGTACTATACAAAACATATCAGTGCCTCATTTCAATATGACACGGACCAAGTTTAAGAATTATATTTATAAAAAATAGCTTTATGAAACATACCCGAATCTCCTCTATCGATGGAAAAGCTCAAGGAAACTCCCTCCTCTCTCAAAGCGGGCACGTTCAGAGGCTTGGATTCGTTCCGGTTATTTTGATTACTGTTCGCTTCACACGTTTTGCGCTCCACGCGACTTATCCGCCGAGATGTGGGGACGCAGAAGACTTTAGTACACATAAACCTAAAATAATACTAATATTTAAAAATTAAACTTGAAATTTAGTACAAACGATGTTCTAATAAAAAAGGTTCTCGAGTGGCAGCCTCGTACCGGCAGGCGAAGTGTAGGGCGTCCCCCCACGAGATGGAGTGACGACCTGGAAAGATATGCAGGAAGTCGATGGATGCAGGTGGCTCAGGACCGTGCTTTGTGGCATTCTTTGGGGGAGGCCTATGTTCAGCAGTGGACTTGTGAAGGGCTGTAATGATGATGTTCTAAATAATGTGCACGCGTTTTTTTTTTATAAATGTGAACCACATAATGTTAGTACAAGTTATGTATGAGAAAAACCATATATGACGGAACAATCGAGAATATACCAAGCATAAACACAGCAGTACAGCGTAAAAGATACATGATTTAAGATTGTTACTCAGACCCAAATGCTAAAGGAAGCAATTATGGCAAAATCTCTGAGAAACACCTCTTTACGGGCATATTCTATCATGCCTTAAGTTATCAAATTAATAGTTACTTACTATAAAAAATATTGAATATATTACTTACCTCTTAGGTTCATTCATGATGTGAATTTTTAGCGATACGCTCTTATAGTTCATAGCGACCGCGCCGAATATCATGTCACCGAGAACGTTCGCGTCCGCCGCCGGCCCTTTGTACTGCGTATAACAAAATTCGTTAAGTAGTATTTTTCTAAAACTTAAGTAAATATATTTGGTAATTTTAACATTATCACACTAAACTGTGAATAAAACTTAAACTTGCCAAAACAGTGGTTATTACGCCATTTTTCTTTAAATATTACTGAAACAATCACAGATTATCCATGGGAAGCAGAGTTTATATTTATAGCGCCAAACGTAGCGATATCAATAAAACCTCCAAGACTTATAAGTGCATGTTGCCAGTGATAACATAAGCAGTGCGTGTTGCCAATGATGACATAGACCTGAGAGGTGGCCCTTCACTGCTGGCCTAATGAGGAAGCTCAAGGTCGCTCAGTGAGCTATGTAGAGGACGATGCTCGGAGTTTCTCTACCTAATAAACTTAGAAAAGAGGATATCCGCAGTAGAATCAGAGTAACCGCACCGAGATAGCGCAACGGATCAGTAAACGAAAATGGCAATGAGCCATATAGCTCGAGGAACCGATAACTGGATAGGGTTGAAAGGTTCTCGAGTGGCAAGCTCGTACCGGTAGGCAAAGTAGAACAGGGCCTACTAGACGGAGTGAAGACCAGGTAAAAGTATCCATAAAGTCAATGAAAGCAAGTGGCTCAGGACCGTGCTTAGTCGCATTTCTTATGTACGATTTGGAAGTGGTTGCAATGGGTCCGACATTTTAAAGTCTAAATTTCAACGTAACTTAACTTTTGACGTCGATATACTCAGATTCTAAAAATATTATTATGTTATATTTTATTTCTTCTACACTACGAAGGGAGGTCAAAAAGTTCGCGCAATGACAGGGAAGGATAATAAAATGAAACATTGAAACTATTTTTCCTTTTCAATGTATTCTCCTTTAACCCTAATACATTTACATATTAGATTTGTCAAATAACTTATCCGTCCAAAAAAAAAGATTTGTCTTGGGCGTCAAAATAGGCTGAAATTGCCGACTTTCACTTCATCGTCGTCGGCAATTTTTTCCCACGCAGTTCTTTCTTCATTTTTGGAAACAAATAATAGTCGCTTGGGCTAGGTCTGGGCTGTAGGGTGAGTGGCGCAGTTGTTCACAACCGCACCGGTGAATGGCAGTCGTTGCAACGTGGCTTGTGTGCACGAGCGCATTGTCGTGCAAAAGGAGTACGCCTTTTGTAAGCTTTTCTCGCCTTTTTTCTTTAATAGGTTCTTTTGATTGATCTAGTAAAGAAGCGTAGTATTCTCAGATTATGGAAGCACCACGTTCCTTATAATCAATCAAAAGGATACCTTCTGTATCCCAAAAGATCGTCGCCATGATCTTTCCGGCCGAATGATACTTTATACTTCTTAGGAGGGGGTGTGCCTTTTTTATGCCACTGCATCGACTCTTGCTTTGACTCAGGTTCATAATGGCGAACCCAAGTTTACTCTCCCAGCTGGTACAAGCGACTAGGGTACCTTCTGCTGACGACCGATCCAGACAGGTACGATGTTCAGGTTACCTCACCCTTGAGAACTTCTGACCACTGTCTGATGAAATCTATGTCATTATATTCCCTACCTAACTTCGATTTCTACGGTGTGCGGTGAGTGTGGCGATACAAGTCAGCAGATTTGATGAGATGCGGCATTTCTTTGCATCTTATCCTTGGCGGCAGGTCTGCTTCTCGTCTCGAAATCCGTCGAGCTGCGCGGATGCCATAACCGATGTGATACGTTAAGCGATGGAGTATTTCATCCCCTTTGCTGACGTGCCCATTGTTGGTAAAGCTCGCCCATGGTTCATCGCCGAGTGCGCTCGTACTGAAAAACACAAGCATATGGCGTACTTATCCTGGGTCGATGCTCGAGACCGCAAAGCTCCCAATGTTCGCCTTAAGAAGAGAACCTTTAACCAAGCCGCCATTTCCTGCAAAAAGGCATTACGGCAAGCCAGTTTCAACCGCATTAAACGCATCTGTACAAAGCTCTCTGTCAAACTATCTGGCAGTAGAGCTTTTTGGTCTTTCGCCAAAGCGGTCGAGACAAACTTCTGTCGGTCTAGACTGGCTCCGCTGGTAAAACCAGATGGCTCACTGGCGCATGCGCCTAAGGAGAAAGGGGATTTATTTGCTTCTTTTTTTGCTTGCAATTCGCGTCTGGACAGTAGCAACAACGTACCATGTCAATTACCTCACTGCGGTACCTCTATGTCAGAGGTCCGTATCACCAACAAGGAGGTTCTTAAAACCTTGCGAAGTCCAGACGTGAACAAATCTAGTGGACCTGATGGTATACCAGCTATAGTTCTAAAGGTCTGTGCACCTGAGATGTCTCCTGTGTTGACGCGCTTGTTCCGCCTCTCATTCAGGACTGGAATAGTGCCCAAATCTTGGAAGCTGGCCAATCTGCAGCCTGTGCCTAAAAAGGTAACCGTACCGACCCTGCCAACTATCGACCAATTTCAAATACCTCCATACTCTGCAAGATTATGGAGCGTATATTGAACGCCCACCTCATGGCACACCTAGAGCAGAATGATCTCCTCAGTGACCGCCAGTACGGGTTTCGCCAAAATTGATCAACTGGGGACCTTCTAGCGTATGCCACTCACACATTGGGCGAAGCCCTCGAGAACTGGGGTGAAGCACTTGCTGTTTCCCTCGATGTTTCGAAGGTTTTTGAGAGAGTTTGGCACGCTAATCTATTGAGCAAGCTTTCAGCGTATGGCTTATCTATATAATATATATATATTGACTTGGTGAAACAGAAACTCTTTTCCTGCTGCATATAAATGATCTGTTCATTCCCGGTACCGATGCAGACGACAGCACAATTGTGGAGAGATACCAACCAAGTGCTCGGGCCAGTCGGGATCAAATCCAGTCCGAACGAGAGGCGATGGTTGAGCGTGTGAATCTCACACTACAGGCAGTCTCCGAATGGGGCGATGCCAATCTCGTGAGATTCAACGCCTCCAAAATACAAGCGTGTCTTTTCACCGCTAAAAGGAGCCCGCTCACCCTAGCTCCTACTTTTCTGAATGTATCCTTGGAGTACACTGACCGCCTTTAGTTGTTAGGAGTTGAATTTTCTCCGAACCTCAACTATGGGCGGTTCATTGAGTCCAGAGCCAAAGCAGCCGCAAGGAAACTTTATGTCCTTGCAAGGGTGCAGTAGTACTTCACGCCGGGGCAGCTTCTTACGTTATATAAAGCGCAAGACCGGTCGTGCATGGAGTACTGCTGTCACATATGGGCTGGTGCTGTAAAATGCCACCTGGCATCGTTGGACTCAGTGGAGAAACGTGCTAAGAAGCTCATTGGTGACCTTGATTTGGTTGAAACCAATCTTGTCAGTCTCGAGCACAGGCGCAGATTAGCCAGTCTCTCGGTATTCTATAGGGTGCATTTCGCTGAGTGTGCGCATGAATTACACGCTTTAATTCCTCCCTCTCCTTTCCACCATTGGACAACCTGGTGGTCAGCGGGTCTTCACACCTTTGTTGTCGATATTCCACGCATTAGAACCAAACGGTTTACTTTATTAATGCGTACAGCAAAGGAGTGGAATAATTTGCCGGCGTCTCTATCTTTCCGTCCGAATACAATCTGGGCGTCTTCAAGGCAAGTGTAAATAGGCCTTTTTTACAGTGCGATTTACCATCTAGGGCTGCATCACCACTTACCACCAGGTCGGATTGTGGTCAAACACTGGCTTATAATAAATAAAAAAAGAAAGTTTCATCGCCAGTTACAATTCGGGCCATAACTTTGCTCTCCACAGCGGTCCAAAAACTCGCGACAACTTTCGACGCGCTCGTGTTTTTGATGCGCAGAAAACATTCCCAGAACCCATCTTGCACAAACTTTAGTCATGCCAAGGTGTTGATGTAGGATGTTTAAAATGGTTGTTTCTGATAATAAAACTAATGCTGCAAGGTGTTTTTTCTTTAGCAGGGCATCTTCCGACACAAGTTTTTCAACTTTTTCGATTATTTCTGGCGTGGTAGCCTCAATCGGCAGTCCAGATTGGGGTTCGTCTTCAATGGAGTCCCTCCCTTGTTTTAAAAGGGCGTGCCATTTAAAATCATAGTTTTCCCAGGAGCAGAGTATAATAATTCCATAAACAGCTGACATCTCTCGAAAAATGGTTTGAGGTGTCTTTCCTTGTTTGTTGAGATACTTAATGACGGCGCGATATTCAATTGGACGACTCCGTGGCGCAGTGGCTTAGCAATCAGTTGTTGCGCTGGGAGCCGCGGGTTCGAATCCCGCACGGAACAAGTATTTGTATGGCCTACGAATAATTGTTCCGGGTCTGGATGTTTGTCCTTAAAATTTCTCCATAGTGACTAGTTTCTTCTAGACTTGTTTACTGGTTGATAACTCAAATGCTGATTAGGCTGAAACTTGGTATATATACTAACAATCAGTCACTTAACTAGCACCTACCTACTATCTAGTACTACTACTAGTACCTACCTAGAGTTTACTCATCCAGAGTAAACTCACCCTCGCCCACCCCGCCATTCCGCGAACTTTTTGACCTCCCCTCGTACGTTTTTCTTAATCACTCATATCCTTCTTATAGTTAGGAACATTTGCTTTCCGTCATGTTTCGCACCCAAGTGCTTCAAGATAATCAAAAAATATTTAAAATTTCAAATGCTTTAAATTTTAAATTTGAGTACAAGTAATTTGTTGCTCAAGCTTTTCGTATCTGTGGAATGCCCTACCATTTACAAACCTACCCAATCAAATCTTGCCATCTCTTAAAAACTTAAAAAGTTACTATATTTCTCTTTAATTACGAACTTGTTAGTTAATATGCAAAATCTGTTATTTAATTGAAATGCATATTTAGTGTTTGTTTATCTATACATATAAACAAAATATTAGTGTCTGTCTGTAATATCAAAATATAACTGCTTTATATTGAACTGATAAAATTAACTACATCATTAAGACATGAACAACCATTTCAAATTTTTGGTCTATCTGTTGTCTTGTAGCTCTGTCTGTGCGGGCTA